GGAAGCCTCTCTGATGGTGACTGGAAGCCTCTCTGATGGTGACTGGAAGCCTCTCTGATGGTGACTGGATAAGGCTTTCATCTATGAGTATAGCAGAATATCATCAGGGGTCATTTTTATTGTCAATTTTTTTAAGAGCAGTAGAATTTGGTTTTATCCTAGGTCTTTGGACTATCTAGACTCTGGTTCTTGATTACCCAAGCAATGTTAGCCTACCCAGGCAGACATGGGTTCTGTCTCATGGCCTGGGCCTTAAGTCAGATCAGATCTGCTGGTCACTCCCACAAGCTCTGTGCCACCATTGTCCTAGCATATTTAGGACAGCTCGTAGAGCAGAGATTTTGTTGTTGGGGAAGCATTTACACTTCTCTTTTGGTAGCCTGCTGAATTCCTTTCCACTAAAACGAGGGGGCGAAGGTTCTGTGTGGGCATTGGCTCGACTGCTCCATGTTCAGTGAGTTATGTGGGTATTGTCTTCAGCAATGAGGCTCTACTGTCAGTTGGTGGAGAACAACCTACTGTCTTGGCAGCAGCCTGGGTTGTTTGAGGATTTCTCTAAGACCCTTTGGCCAACAACTCAAATGGATGAAGCTCAGCCCTGGTACTGGAGCCTTGCTTGGTGGCAGGAGCTGGGAAGTAGGGGTTCTGGGTCCCTCATTCTTTGGAGACTTCGTTAGAGTCACCTTCATGAAGTTTCCATACCACTCCTCAAATGCTCTTCAATTCTAGTTGTCTCTCCTTCATCCCCTCCCCCAATCCCATCTCCCCTCCCCCTTCCCATCTGCTCTTTCTGTTGCTCCCCCACCCCCATTCCATTCCTCCCAAAAAATCTATTTCTCCCCTCCCAGGAAGATCCATGTGTCCTCCCTGCTCCCTCCCTCTATGCCGAACCTCTCTGGATCTACAGATTATAGCTTGGTTATCGTTTATTTAATGGCTAATATACATGTATAAGCAAATACATACCATATTTATCTTTCTTGGTCTCGGTTACCTCACTAAAATTATTTTTTCTTGTTCCATCCATTTGCCTGCAAATTTCATAATGTTATTTTTTTAAGAGCTGAGTGTTGCTCCATTGTATAAACACACCGCATTTTCTTTACCTATTATACTGTTGAGGGACATCTAGGCTATTTCCGATTTCTGGCTACTATGAATAGAGCAGCAATGAACACAGCTGAGCAAGTGTCTCTGTGGTGGGATGGCATGTCCTTTGGGTCTATGCCCACGAGTGGTATAGCTGGGTCTTGAGGCATTCCCACCAGCAATGGAGGAGTGTTCACCTTGCTCCTCTGCATGGCCAGAATGAGCTGCTGTTTGTTGTGGTTTTCATCTTAGTCACTCTGACAGGTGTGAAATGGAATCTCAAATTAATTTTGATTGAATTCCCTTGATGGCTCAGAACATTGCACGTTTCTCAGCCATTTGAGATTTCTCTATTGAGAATTCTCTGTTTAGATCTGTACCCCATGTTTTAAATAGGATTATTTGGGTTCTCGATATCAAATTCCTCGAGTTTTTTGTATATTTTGGATATTAGTCCTCTATCAGATGTGGAGGTGGTAAAAATTCCATTCTGTAGACTGCCACTTTGTCCAACTGACAGTGTCCTTTGCCTGACAGAAACCTTTCAATTTCTTGAGGTCCAATTTTTTAATTGTCAGTCTTAGTGCCTGCTCTGTCAATGTTCTTTTCAGAAAGTCACCTCCTGTGACAATGCATTCAAGTTTATTCATCATTCTCTTTCTATTGGGTTTAGTGTATCTGGTTTTATGTTGAGGTCTTTGATCCACTTGGGTTTGAGTTTTGTTCAGGGTGCTAAGTATGGATCTATTTGCATTCTTCTACATGCAGACATCCAGTTAGACCAGCACCATTTGTTGAAGATGCTGTCTTATTTCCAATATGTATTTCTGGCTTCTTAACAAAAACTCAAGTGTCCATAGGTATATGGATTTATGTCTCAGTCTTCAATTCCATTGATGAATGTCTCCGTTTTTATCCCAATACCATTCTGTTTTTATTATTATAGCTTTGTAGTATAACTTGAGATCAAGACTGGTAAGACCTCCTTCAGTTCTTTTACTGTTCAGAATCGTTTTAATTATCCTGTTTTTTGTTTCAGTGTGTGTGCGCGCTTGTATGTTTCCATATGAAGTTGACAATTGTCCTTTTAAGATCTGTGAAGAACTATGTTGAAATTTTGATATAGATTGTATTCAATCTGTAGATTGCTTTTGATAGGATGATCATTTTTCCTGTGTTAATCTTACCAATCCATGAGCATGGGAGAGCTATCTTCTGATGTCTTCTATAATTTCTTTCTTGAAAGACTTGGAACTTTTATCATGCAAATTTTAAATTTCCTTGGTTAAGTTTACCTTAAAGTTTACCTTTATTGTGAAAAGCGTTGTTTTCCTGATTTATTTTTCAGTCTGTCATTTGTATTTAGGAAAGCTGCTGATGTTTTGAGTTAATTTTGTATGCAGCTACTTTCCTGAAAGTGTTCATTAGCTGTAGGAGATCCCTGGTGGAAGTTTTAGGGTCACTTAAGTATACTATAATATCATCTTCAGATAAAGATACTCTGACCTTTTCATTTCCTATTTGAATTGAAGACCTCCGCAGAGGGGAGACCCTCACTCAAGTCTCAGAAAGTCGCGGCCACCCAGTAATCTGCTCGAGACACCATGTACCAGAGCAATTGCGAGGTTTATTAGGGCGTGACAACTAGCTGCTGGTCAATTCGTATGCCCACGCAGGAGCTGAATTGACCCCGACAGCCAGTTTTAGAGGGGTTTTTAAGGGGAAAAACCACAAACCAAGGAATGGGGAGGGGGCTCATGGTTGTTAAGGTGGCAAACATAAAAATAGCGGAACATTCCAAAGGAACCCAACCTACATGAGTCAGGATCAGGTGAAAACTCTCTGTACGCTTATCTTTCTCAAGAATGTGGTCCTGCCCTGTCACTGTGGCCTTGCCTGTCACTGCGGTTCTCAGCTTGGTTCCCAGCTTGGTTCCACCTAGTTCACTTGCATTCTTTCCTTTCTCTTTGCAGATAGGCCAGTTCCAGTAATGGTGACTGGTCTTTCCACATTCCTAACTTGCTTCATGGCTCGGTTTCTCCATGTCTTTATAAAGAAAGCCTAAAGAATATTTTATATGTCTAAAAAGGATTCTATATACCCAGTATCTATAATTTTTCACTCTACAGAATACTTTCATCTCCTTCAGCTTTCTTGCTCTAGATAAGACGTCAAGTACTGTATTGAATAGCTATGGAGAGAGCGGATAACCTTGTCTTGTTTCTGATTTTAGTGGAATTCCTTTGAATTTCTCTCCATTTAAGTTGAAGCTAGCTGTGAATTTTCTGTAAACTTTATCATGAAGGGGTGTTGGGTTTTGTCAAAGGCCTTTTTCTGAATCTAATGGGATGATCATGTGTTTTTCTTTCCATTTGTTTATAGAATGTGTTATATTATTGATTTTTTTTATATCAGGCTAACCATACATCTACAGGATTAAGCCTACCTCCTTGTGTTAGGGTCCAATAATCTCTGAAGAATGATACAAACAAACAGACTCAAACAGTGTGCAAAGGCAAAGAGTGTTTATTCAGCTGAATTTCCAATACGTAGGGGTAGCCACATTGGAATTGGAGACCTCTGGTGGACCCATCTTTTACTGTCAGTTAGGGGAATTTCAGGGAGGGGTATGGGCCCTTTTACCTGGATCGGTTAGCTCTATCTCTAGGGGTCTGACTAATTCTACAATTGGTTGGGTTCTGGAGACTTCCTAGGGGATCACTTACTCATTTTTGCTACCTATTCTCAGGCCAGATGACAAGGTGTCCTCCGATTGGCTGCCTGAGGCTGTTGTTGGCTGGCCACAGGTTCCTGGATCCAGGTTCTCATTTCTGGAAAACAGAAACTTAAGCCTAGCCTCCCAAACTGCCAGTTGGCAGCCTGTTGTGGAGTCCCCCTGCCTCTGAGCTTAGACCCTTCAGTTGATCATGGTGAACGATGTTTTTGTGTTCTTGGATTCAGTTTGCAAATCTTTTATTGTGTATTTTTGCATCTATGTTCACAAGGGAAATCGGTCTGTAATTCTCTTTCAATTCAACTTGTTAAATCTTTGTGTGGTTTCTGTATCAGGGTAAACGTGGCCTTATAAAGCAAGTTGGGCAATGTTCCTTGTGTTTCTGTTTTGTGAAATAATTTGAAGAGTATTGGTATTAACTCTTCTTTGAAAGTCTGGTAGAATTCTGTGCTAAAACCATCTGGCCCTGACCTTTTTTGGTTGGAAGACTTTTAATGACTGTTTCTGTTTCACTAGGGATTCTAGATCTGTCTAAATTGTTTACCTGACCTTGATTTAACTTTAAATGGTATCTATCGAGAAAATTATCCATTTCTTTTAGATTTTCCAATTTGGTGGAGTACAGGGTTTAAAGTATCTCCTCATGGTTCTCTGGGTTTCTTCAATGTCTGTTATGTCCCTAGTTTTCATTTCTTATTTTATTAATTTGTGTAGTCTCTTTCCAACTTTTAGTTAGTTTGGATAAGGGTTTATCTACATTGTTGTTATTCTCATAGAACCATCTTTTTGCTTCATTGACCATTCGTATTGTTCTCTTTGTTTCTAGTTTACTGTTTTCTGCCCTCAGTTTGATTATTTTTCACCTTGTTCTACAACTTTCAGGTGTGCTGTTAAGTTGCTAGTATGAGAACTCTCCAGTTTTGTTTTTGTGTTTTAATGTAGATATTTAGTGTCTCTTAGAACTGCTTTCATGTGTCCCAAAGTTTAGATATGATATATATTCATTTTCATACACTTTTCTAAAAAGTTTTTCATTTTTTTATTTATTTTGACCCACTTTTCACTCAGTAGAGAGCTGCTTGGTTTCCATGAATTTATAATAAGCTTTCTGTTTTTTCTGTTGTTATTGATATCAGCTTTAATCTGCGGTGATCTGGTGAGATGCAGGGAGTTATTTTAATTTTCTTATATCTGGTGAGACTTGCTTTGTGTCTGAGTATGTGATCCGTTTTTGAGAAATTCCCATGAAGTGCAGAGAAGAATATATATTCTTTTGTGTTTGGGTGAAACTTTCTGTAAATGTCTGTTAGGTGCATTTGGCTTATAATGTCTGTTAGTGCTAGCATGTCTCTGTTTAGCTTTTGTCGAGATTACCTGTCTATTGGCGAGAGTTGGGTCATGAAGTCTCCCATTGTCAGTGCATGAAATGTCTGTTACCAGAGTACTGTGCAGGCACACCCTGTCCTCACCAAAGTTCCAATGGCTAGAATTCTAACATAAATAAACAGGAAAAAGAAATCCCAAGACTCATGGAAGACAATGCAGTCCTGAGCCTGAGGTCCCAGGAACCTGGCTTCAAATGATACCACAGAGCCATCATAATGGCAGTATCACAAATCACGAATACAAGCCAGTGGCATAAAGCAACTCACAGGGCTACACCCATCTGGTTCTCTGTAAGGCTGCGGCAAACATGTTGGAAAGACTTTATGTTCAGTGACTAGTGCCAAGGACATGAGAGGTGCACAGGTACGGGAATGAAAGTAGATCCCCGGCCAGGCGGTGGTGGCGCACACCTTTAATCCCAGCACTTGGGAGGCAGAGGCAGGCAGATTTCTACAGAGTGAGTTCCAGGACAGCCAGGGCTACTCAGAGAAACCCTGTCTCGAAAAACAAAAACAAAAACAAAAACAAAAACAAAAAGTAGATTCCCCACCCTTCACACTGCACAGACATCAACTCAGAATGAATCTGAGACCTTAATGTAAGACCCAGAACTTTGAAACTTCTAGAACAGGGGTTCTCAAACTCACCTAATACTGTGACCCTCTAATACAGTTCCTCAAGTTATGATGACTTCGACCATACAATCATTTCACTTGCTACTAACTGTAGTTTGCTTCTGTTGTGAATCATTCTGTAAGTATCTAAGATACAGGGTATCTCATTCCTGACCTGCATGAGGGCACAGTCCACAAGCTCGGGTATTCAGACGACTCCAGTTTCAAAAGAAATGCCTGTTGAGAACAACAGCAACAAATTAGCAAGTTCTCAAGTTGATTTAAAGTTCAGTCTCTGATGAAGACTCCCAGGGAGGCTCAATCTCCAGTGGGCCTCAGTCTCCACTCCTGTTCTTGTTTCTCACCACAAGATGCAGGTTCTGGGACACCCCTCATGAAGTAACCGGTTTCCTAAAGAATTCAACTCTGACTCTCCCCTCTGTGGTTCCCCATTAGGCATTCATGACTGAAATGCAGGTGGTGGCTGAAATTATTCAACACCTAGTCCAGAGGCCTGAGGACTATCTGGAGAACATTGAAATCACTGTGAGGCTGTATAAGGAGCTCCTGCTGAGCGCTCTGGAGGTGAGAAGGGGCTGCTGCAGTGCTGGGGGAGAAGGGGCTGCTGCAGTGCTGGGGGAGAAGGGGCTGCTGCAGTGCTGGGGGAGAAGGGGCTGCTGCAGTGTGGCATCTTCAAGGGTCTTTGTTTGATAACACTCCTCACAAAATCCTCACCTCTTGTTTCTAAAGGTGTGCTTATTTAGTGAGTGAGTGTGTGTGTGTGTGTGTGTTACACATTCACGTGCACCACATGTATTCAGAAGCCTGAGGAGGCCAGAAGAGGGTATAGGATCCCTGGACTGGAGCTACAGCAGTTGTGAGCCACCTTGTAGGTGCTAGGAATTGAAACTGGATCCTCTGCAAAAGCAGTAGTGCTCTAACCACTGAGCTTTCCTTCCACCCCACTCACCAAGACTCTCTCTCTCACACACACAAGCACGCTATTTACTCCTTCAAAGCACCTCCATGCTGCCCAAGATAAGGTAAATATGATTTCCAGAAGTCGCTAGGTTGTTTACAGAGATGAGAATAAGAAGAGAGCCCCACCAGCAAGATGACAAGTTAACACAGATGCTGTTTTTCAACTCCGTTTGTCAGACCATAAAAGCTAAAATGGCCAGTGACAGCAGGAAAGGATGCACAGCCTCTGCATTGCTTGTGAGACTTCTGAACTATACAACCTTCTGGAAGAACCAGTGCCTAACACCTGCTAACATTAAAGCCTGCTTTCGGAAGTAGCTTGTTTGTTTTCAGCCTATTATCAGCACCTACGGATTTAGTGAGAGACGCTTAGTAGGTGAACATAGAAATAAGAAATGAGGGTGGAAGGTGCGTTTGCCTGCATTCCCTCAATGGCTGCCCTCAGTCCAGTTACACTGGAAATTATGGAAGAAAATGGGGTTTTAAATTTAAAGATAAGTAAAAAGTCTTTAACAGGATATTATAATCTGCTTAATAGCAAAAGATTGTTAAATAAGTATTGTAGCCACAGCACGTGATCCCATACAACCGTGAGGATGGGACGTTCACATAATCTTGTAAAGAGATAGCGGAATATTGAATATGTTTGTGGAAAAGTAGGCGCCGGAGTTTCATGTACATAATGATATCAAAACTGCAACAGCTTTTTTTTTTTCTCGGCATAGAAGACGGGTGGGAATCAGTAGAAGTAAGTCTCCTTTCGGTGAACGGGCTAAAGTTGATTTTCTTTGTCTTCTTCTGTTCCGTAAATTTTCTATAAAGCGGTGTGCCCTAAAGTGATAAACGGGACAGCGTGCTGATTACTGATGTTGTTATGAAAAAAGTAGATGATTGAAATTTCAATCAGCTTTTTCTGTGTTTTCAAAACAAATTAGCAAAGTCATGTGCTGCAAAATGTCCCCCAAGCCTTCTGTATCACGAAGGACTTTTAAGTTTTAGAGTAGAGGAAAACATGAGGGAAAAAAAATTATGGACAGTAGCAGGAGCGGGCGTGGCATGGGGGCGTGGCATGGGGGCGTGGCATGGGGTGTGGCGTGGAGGCGTGGCGTAGCTCAGGACCAAGCCCACAACTGCGCAAGTCCCCAACACAAACACATGGCCCTGGTAGGCAGGCTAGCTCTGCCTTTGGAAAGATTTGTTGGATGCTGCAAATGACCACATTGTAACCTGCATAAGATGCGCGAATTAGCTCTGAAGACTTCCTCACAGTACATTAAGATTCTCCCCTTGTATTCAACTTGCCTTTTGATTTTCTCCAGGAGGTAATGGCTGAGCATAACCCCCAGTATCTCATCGAGCTAGATGGGAATAAGTCACCAGAGGAGCTCTTCATGGTGAGTATAGCGTGCGGCACAGGCATTTCTCGCGGGTTGAGAAATTCTGAGTCGTTTCTGGGTTGGGCTTATTTTATGAGGAGTTCTATTTCTAGTGTATTACCATGAACTTTTGTTTCAACACTTTAAACTTCCGTGTTGCATTTGTTTATCTGCTGACGTTTAAGGCAAAAGAACACCTGAATTTTAAATTTCTCTATGGCTACAGTACCCCCAAGAAAAAGAAAAGCAAATGGCCGACAGGAAGCAGGCAACAGGGTGCTGACATCCGCAGTCACTAAGGGTGTGCAGCTTACAACCAGAACGGATGCTACTTCACACCCACCACGATGGCCAAAGCTGTTTGTTGTGAATGAGATCCCAGGTCTAATACCTGGTGCCACAAATTAAATAATAACACAAAACACAGTAACTATTTTTTAAGTCCCATACACATCTGGTATACTGATGGACTCTGGGAATGCATATGGAAAGGAAGCCAATGAATCGGTCTGTCCGTCCGTCCGTCCCTCCCTCCCCTTATCCAGCACCCAGTCCATTGAGGAAAATAAATACACAAGTGACAGTGTGCATTACAATCTGAGAAGTATATGGTATTTCAGGAGCGTGTGATAGAAGGACAGACAGTATCTGATGGTCATCTGGGTGGATTCCACTTAAGGATGAGTGAGAATCAGACCCTAAAGGCTTGATGCAGGAGTGGGTGGGACACATTCTCTGCTGAGGGAAGAGTCCATACAAATACCCAAGGATCAAGAGAGAACAGAGCGAGCTGCAGGAACCGAACTTAGGGTTGAGGCCAGGATGAGGTAGGAAGTGTGGGGTAGCCCCAGAGTTCTAAAGAACCAGGCAGAGACACTGTCAATTAAAGAGTTCAGATCTCATCATGAGGGAACAGGCAGCCAGGGAAAGGTTTGAAGCCAGGAAGGAAAGAAAATCTACTCAGACTGCCATATGGGGAAAGAGGAAAGGAGACACAAACTGGAGGTAGGTTAGCTACCTGTGGCTCTCATGGTCAGTCCAGCAGAAGATGGTGGCCTACCCTACACTGGTAATGGGCAGGATTGTGCAGAAGAGGGAAGAGTGAGGACTGCTTCAGAAAGTGTACCTGGTGGGACCCGTGTTGAAGTAATTATTGAAAACGGCTGCTGGTCAAGCCGACTAAGCTGCAGCGGCTCTGCCTAGCTCAGCCACCATGTTCCTTGGCCGAAGGCTACGTGCACACGCCACAGCTAGAACAGTCCAGCCAGAAACACCAGCCCTGCCACCCACGAGACGCCAGCGTAGGAGATGGCTCTGCCAATCTTCCATGCTGTCTCTGCCAGGCTGGGCATTGCCCAGACCATCCCGCCATCCACTCGGGCCCAGTAATAAAATGAGACTCTAATGCTTAAAGATTAATCAAAGGCTTTATATATTTGGTAAAGCTCAATAACAATATGCCCATACAATTAGAGTTGTTTTTCAATTAGCTAACCTAAATATAAGTTGTTACCCGCGACTGCTCTCCATACCTGCGTGCCTCTTCATCCTCCTGCATCTCTGTCTCTCTCCAACCTCACTCCTCCTCCTCCTCCTCCTCCTCCTCCTCCTCCTCCTCCTCCTCCTCCTCCTCTCCTTACTCCTCTCACCTTAGCTCCTCCTACAGACCCGGTCAGCCACTGTAGGGGTAGGGGAAGAAGAGAGAAGATAATGGCTTATCTCACAGGTGGGAGCATGATCAGGATGCCAGCAGTGAGGCCAGACCAGGGACAAGCCCTCACATGGGACACGTGCCTACAAGACTACAGAGCGTTCTCTCCTCTTTGCCAAAGGCCATGGCCATGTTCAGTCTCCATCTAATTGAATCGAATAGCAACATCTGCCAACGCCGTCCCCTCTCCTGACCTCCTCTGCCAACGCCGTCCACTCCCCTCTCCTGACCTCATCTGCCAACATCTGCTGTCTATTCCCCTCTCCTGACCACCTCTTCCCTGGGCCTCTGGAGCCCCTCCACAATGGCTCCATTGCTTCTCCCTGGACATTGCTAAGATCTAAGGACTAAGGCTGGAAGGGAGGGTAGTTGGCTCCATGAGCTCCTCTAGGCCACACCCCTCTTCCCTTCCCCCTTGGGAGACTTCATCAGGGCCAAGAGCTTTGAAAACCTTCTCAAAACCGTATGACATAAAATCTTTGTACTGTCCCGGATCTTTCTGCCGAATCATGTGCCAGTACACTACACTCAGCTCCCTCTGAACCATTCAGTGGCTGCATGTCCAACTAGAGAGCTACTGCTTGGCTCATATTAAGACGTGCAGAGCACCGCTCCACAGTCACCACTGCCCACCCATACGATTCTTCCTGTAAGTGTCAACTCTATCCCACAAACTCGGCCCTTCTCTATGGTCCCCATACCCACGCCCACCCCATCAGCATACACAGCAGACTTCTTCAAGGTGCACTTGCTGAGACTTGCCCAGTGTTCTGGCCCCAGTACTGGCACTCCAGAACATTCCATTTCTCAAAACAAGTAACATGGAGAAGCTGAGCATTAAGGGTCTAAGGTAGCATATGCCACCTAAAATGAACTAAGTTGTTGACAAGGAACCCAGACAAGGTTAAACTGAGTGCTAATCCAGGCTACCACAGGCTCCACTGCTTTTGGCTGTCTCACTGTCTCTCGCCAACCATTTCTGGTATTAGCTTGTTTGTTTTTTACCCCATATTGCCCCACATCTTACCTGCATTAGTTTCCTAGAACTGCCATGAGAGACGCCCACAAATGAGGCAACTGGAAAGGATAGGAATTATCTCTCACAGTTCTGGAAATTCAGATCAAGGCCCCCGCAGGGTTGTTCTCCATCAAGATTGTCTGCAAGAGGCCCATTCTCACCTCCTCTGGATTTGGAGTCTTGCCATTTTATGGGCTGTAACAGCATCAACTCCAACACCTGCCTCTGCCCACTCTGGGCTCTTTTTTCCTCTACCTAAAGAGGTCCAGGGCCAGAGGACAGACAGACACAGGTTAGAATCTATCCTCTAAAAAATATTTTAAGGGCCTAACTTTAAACTGTGGATATGGCCTTATTTGAGCATGAGGTCTTTGAGAGTTCATTCCAATTAGGGAGTACGGCCTCAGAGAGAGAGGCAGGAGGCAGCAGTGTGACATCAGAAGGAAAGAGCGCAGCCATGCACCGCAGTGTGATATCAGAGAGAGAGAGAGAGAGAGAGAGAGAGAGAGAGAGAGAGCAGCCATGTACTGCAGTGTGACATCAGAGGGAGAGAGTGCAGCCATGCACTGCAGTGTGACATCAGAGAGAGAGAGAGAGAGAGAGAGAGAGAGCAGCCATGCACTTCAGTGTGACATCAGAGAGAGAGAGAGAGAGAGAGAGAGAGAGAGAGAGAGCAGCCATGCACTGCAGTGTGACATCAGAGAGAGAGAGTGCAGCCATGCACTGCAGTGTGACATCAGAGAGAGAGGGTGCAGCCATGCATATACAAGCCACCAAGAGTTCCAGTTAGGGCATGCCTAGCATGCATGAAACCACAGGTTCCATCTCCTGCACCACGTACACTGTGTCACGTGGGATATCCCAGAACTCAGGAAGGAGAGACAGGCAGTCTCAACTCAAAATCATCTTCTACTTCATAACAAGTTCAAGGATAGCCTGAGATTTATGAAACTTGGCCTCAAAAGACCAACATTATTTATATATAGAATTATATTATAGATTATATACTTATATAATTAAATATATATTTCTATAGATTATGTATTTCTCTATAAACACATATTATATATTATAAGATAAATAGTATACTTAAATAATATATGTTTATTAATATATATTATATAATAGATAATATATAATTATATATAATATATGCAATATGTTATAAGTATATTATATTTGTGTATATTTATATATTATACATACCATATATTTATACATTTTATAAATATTTATAATATTCAAATTTATACATGTATATTATGTGTTTCACATATTTATATATTACCTATAATATATATCGATATATACATATATTAAGGAAACACCAAAGATCTCCAGCAATGCATAGAAGCCAGGAAAGACTGAGAATAGACTCCACACAGAGATTCAGAAGAAGCATGAACCCATGACTTTTTCATAACGTCTGCCATGCTCAAGTGCCAATGAATTCAAACGCTTGCTTTTTTACCTTCAGACAGTCATCGAGCGGCTGAAGTACTTGAACGTGAAGCGAGCAGCCATCATAACCAAGCTTCAGGGCACAGAGGAGGAAATGACCGACATAATAGACACTGTAAGTTCAACTGACCCGCTTGAAAGCACGCCTGCTCCACGCTGTGTCCCTAGCACGCGTCGCCCACAGTCTAAGGGAGAGCTCTCCATAAAGACAGCCCTTCTGGGAGTGGAGAGATGCTCAGTGTTTAAGAGCACTGGCTGCTCTTCCAGAAGTCCTGAGTTCAATTCCTAGCAACTGCATGGTGAGTCACAACCATCTATAATGTAATCTGATGCTTTCTTTTGGTGTGCAAGTATATATGCAGATATGAGCACTCATACATATATATATAATATATAATATATTATATATATTATATATATTATATATATTTATTACACATATATGATATATATATATAATAAAAATAAAAAAGACATCTGCTAGGAAGAAGCTACATTCTGAGCACAATATGATTAGTGACACTAACTGCAACAAAACAAAGATGTGCAAATAACAGACACAACCATTGTTAGCTTGAAGGTTTGATGCATTCTGGGAAGGCTAGCTTAGCCTATATGCATAAAAAAAGTTAACATAGTGTAAGTAGATACCAAAATTCAAATAGGCTAATAGTCGCAGAAGCCATTTTGATATGGAGCACAACATAACCCGGATGTCACGGTAGGTCAGTGCAGGTGGAATCTGGTCCAGCAGAAGAAGGGAGGTGGGCTCAGAGTCTGGAGAAACAGTTGTGAGAGCTTTTGTCGGTGCTTTGCTTTGATGCCAGGAGTTGTGAATGTGTTCATCAGAATGGCTTATCTCCATGATCCAAAATGAAGTTCTATAGCCAATGAATTCTGACAGCCTTGTGAGGCTGGAGAGTTAGTTGAGTTGTTACAAGTGCTACTCCTGAAAAATACCAGATACAGTTCCCAGTGCCCACATGGGGGTTTGCAACCACCCGAAACTCCAGTTCCAGGCAATCTAATCCCCTTTTCTGACTGCCTCAAGCAGCAGGTGTGACCCTCACCCTCACTCCCCCTGGGGATCACAGGCCAGTATCAGTCCACGAGGGAAAAGGAAGCAGAGAGGGACTGGGTGTCAGAAAGCCTTGTGAGTACATAGAAGACACATAGGGAACAGCTAGCCACAGGGAGGCGGGTAAACTTTCCTTGGAGGCTTATATAATTTGAGGGACTAGGGATAGGAACATTGGGATAGACAAAAGTCACTGGCTAAAGACTTAGGGACTGTACTGCCTCATTAGCATGGGGAAGCATTTCAGGAGTCTCGGGTGCCTGCTGAACAGGTTCTTATCAGGAGGAAGGAAGTTGTACATGCAATCTAACTAAGGCTACGTGACATTCTTTAGGTAGAGGGGTGTGTGTGTGTATGATATGAATGTGTGTGTATGATATGAATGTGTGTGTGTGTGTGTGTGTGTGTGTGTAGGAGGGGGTGTTGAACTCCTCAGACAATGTCAGAGAAGGAGAATCCCTGACAATGAAGGGGGACTCCATATCACGCTGAGCCCCAGAAGGCCATCTGGACAACGGTAGACTTTGGTCTTAACTATAATTATCAGAGTTCTCCCACATCATGTGCACATATAGACATCCAGGGGCACACACATATAATAAAACTAAATCTTCAAAACTAATCTGAGAACATTTGCTTTACCGTTAGATAAATACACTGTATGTGGCTTCTTGGCGCAAGTTGATTTGCAAGGTTCAGTGTGCTCTGGAAGACTCTAGATAGATTCTTCTCAATGAAAGGCAGACGACGTTCAGAGAATCACCAAAGGGGTGATTATAGCTAAAGCTTCGAAACATGCTAACGCCCAGACTACTTTAAACAGAATTTCTGGGGTAGGATCCAGTACTCACTAAAGCCAAACAAAGTGGGATGCAGCATCAAAAGCCATGTAACAAAACCACCTAGAACTTTTGCACAGCAAAACTTGCTCTGTACCAGACTGGCCTTAAACTCAGAGATATGCTTGCCTCTGTCTCTTGGAATTAAAGGTGTATGCTACCATGCCTGAACTTGCTTTAAAGTCACCACTCCATTAATCTGCTTATCTCCGAGAACACAGGATTCAGCTCCATTTCACTCCTGGTGCCCCTTCATTACTTGAACCATACATTTTATGTTTTTACTTTCTCAGCTTGCTCCATTTCATTAAAATGTTCTTCATAAGAGTGAACTTTTGTAACCACACAACAAAATTTACACCAGGCTGTTTTGAGACTTCCTTTGTCAAGGCAACTAATCGAAATCTCTTCACCTTAGCCTCAGGCAGACTCTTTGAACAATGGCAAAAAGCATCCATGTTGTTCACCGAAATATCACAAAACAGTCTCTAGGCCACATGCTAAAATTCTTCTCCACTGAAACAACTTGGACCAGGTCTACAGAGTTCAAATCAGTCTCAGCACCAGTGTTTTCCATATTCCTACTGGGATGGTACATTAAGCCCCACTTAAACCATTCCACTGCTTCCAAAGTCCCCAAATCCACATTCTTCCAAACAAAAGCATGGCCAAGGTTATCGGAGCAATACCTAACTCCTATTACCAACTTCTGTCTTAGGGTTCCCATTGCTATGAACAGACACCATGATCAAAGCAACTCTTATAAGAGACAACATTTAATTGGGGCTGACTCACAGGTCCTGAGGTTCAGTCTGTTATCATCATAGCATGGCAGCATCCAGGGAGGTACAGTGCTGGAGAAGGAGCTGAGAGTTCCACATTTTCATCCAAAGGAAGCCAGGAGAAGACTGGCTCCCATGTGCTTAGAAGGAGGGTTTCATTGCCCACTCCCATAGTGACCCACTTCCTCCAACAAAGCCACACCTAACAAGGCCACACCTAATAGTATCACTCCTTGGGTCAAGCATATTCAAATCACCACCCCCCCCAAAGCCAAAATGTACATTCTAAACTGTTCTTTAAATAGCAAAGTGCTATCAAATAAAGGTCAAATATTTGGTTCCAATGATTTCTGCAAAGTTTAGGTTCTTGTTCCTAAGGATGTGTTTGTGGTTCACAGGAAGAGCTGTTCCGTACGGTGTCATCTTATAAACTCATTGCACCAAGGTACAGATGGAACCGAAGCAAGTGGGCCCGTTCTTGTCCAGTGTCCTTAAAGGAGGGGAACATTTATTCGGGAGCAGCAGACTTTACCGTGAGGTTGGTTAGCCTTCCAGAGTGTTCATTTTAAAGCTGCCCGTGGTGCTTTCAGTTGTTTACTCTCACGGTGTGTTTTAAGTTTTCTAGGTAAAATGTACTGCCTTTCTTCTGAAGAAACGTTAAAATCCTTCTCACTGAACCCCCGCTCCTTCCTCCTGCCACCCATGCCGCTGCCACCATGCAAAGTCTTTGTATTTGGACCCGACCAAGTAGGGAAAACAACGCTGGCCAATCTGATTGCAGAACACTTCAAAGCAAAGGTAACTATCTATGGAGCCCTTGTTTTAATCTGTAGAATTTTAGTCGATCTTGGTTTTCATAACTTTACACCAGGCACTAGGGTTGGTGAGGGGAAGGCATCCTCTGGATTGTCAGAGGGTGGCTCAGGAAGGTGTGTGGCCCGGTGAGAAGACAGGGACAATCTTCCCCTCAGGACAACTCACACCAGGACATGCCCAGTCTTTACAAGCCTTCCGCTCATTTGCAAGTTTTAGCCAACCCCTGCACCCCCCCCAAAAAAAAAACAAGGTAAAAAAACAAAAACAAAAAACGCTCTTAGCCTAAGAAAAAGAAAGAGGAAACAGTGGATTAAAAAAAAAATAAGACAGAGCTGTAAAATGGAGGAAATGCTATTAAAAAGTGAAACAGTAACCACAAAATCGTAGAAAAAATCCATACTGTTTATACAACAACAACAAAAAAACCCACCCAAACATGAACACCGTAAGAAACTTCTAAAATATAAGAAATACAATACAAAATGGTTAAGACAGATAAACACCCATTTCAAAAAGACAGTATCTGAGTGGCCAAAAAACATGGAAATGTTTGACCTCCCTAGTCATTAGGTAAATGATAGATTATCAGATACACACTAGCGTGGTTAAAATTCGGGAGACTTTGCTCTAAGAGGAGTCAGCAGGGCTATGGGGTATTAACAGCTCCGATGATCAGCTAAAGGGGCTGGCAGCTAACGGGGCTGGCAGCTAACGGGGCAGTCAGCTAACGGGGCAGTCAGCTAACGGGGCTGGCAGCTAACGGGGCTGGCAGCTAACGGGGCTGGCAGCTGACAGGGCTGGCAGCTAACAGGGCTGGCAGTCAGCGGAGCTAGTTTGGAATTATCTCCTCAAGTTCCAGAGCATGTGTGTAATCTTATGTACCAACAACAGTCCAGCCAACTAATTAAATAGATTTCCAGAGCACAAATAGATGCATGTGTTCAAATGACTGACACGGTATTGAGTATTGCTCATAACACACACACACACACACACACACACACACACACACACACACACACACACATGAATCTGAAAAGAACCAAAGATTCTTTTCCCTGCCTTCCTCTTGTTTCTTTGCACATCTCAGCTATTCCATCTGTGAGTCTGAGGGCAATGCATGCATGCAGTGCACAAGCACACATGAAGGTACAGCACCTCCACATACAGAAAGAAAGGAGGCGGCCAAAGCAATGCTCAGTGGTTAGGAGCACTTACTGGCTTTGCAGAGCATCCAGGTTTGGGGCCCAGCACCTACACAGCAGTGCATGGGCGTTCACACCTCAAGTTTCACAGGACCTGATGCCTTCTTCTGACCTCTCAGGGTACCAAGCACACACATAGTGCACATATATGCGTGGAGTAAAGAAACTCATACACATAACATAAATAAATTAGTAGTATTATTAAGAACAGGTGGCTGGAGAGACGGCTCAGTGGTGAAGAACAACACTTGCTCATTCTGGGATCCAAACTCAGCTCCTAGCACCCACATCAGGTGGCTCACAAGCACCTGTAAGTCCAGCTCTGGGGGATCTGACACCTCTGAACTCTACAGACACCTGCACTCATGTGCACGAACACACACACACACACCTATACCCCATATACACACACATAACTAAAAATAATAAAAGGGATGTTTGAAATTTTGAAAATAAAGTGGGATATTTTTTTAAATCAGTGAATTTTGTACACAATTCCAAAGATGCCTCAAATGGTATCTAGTTTTAGGAGACAGATAGATAGATAGATAGATAGATAGATAGATAGATAGATAGATGATAGATAGGGAGGGAGGGAGGGAGGAAGGAAGGAAGGAAGGAAGGAAGGAAGGAAGGAAGGAAGGAAGGGTGCTTTATATCCACAGTACCTTGTGACTACACTAATCAGCTTGATTACTTCTGCAGGTAATTGACTATGTTAAACTCGTTCAGCCACGTTTCGACAGTGCCCGTGAAAAGCTAATAAAAGACACCATAACTGAAGCCACCAACACAGCTATCAAAGTTGTGAAAGAGAGGCTTCTGAATGAGATGCAAGCCAAAAAGCAAGGTGAACCATTCTCCTGTTATAAACAAGTATCTCAGGGAACGGCTAAGTAAGGGCAGGAGCTTCAGTTTGTCCATCTCAGTATCTTTGCCATTTGTGCATTTAGAGAGACTACCTGCATCCCAAAAGGTTCACTCCTATAACTTTAAGGAAGAGTACCTGTAAGTGCGGATGCTTAAAGATCTTTCTTCTTCATGGGTACTTGCTGGTCAGAGGCTGAGCAGCATTTGTGACTTTATCCACACTGGTAATTAAAACCAGCCTTCGCCTCAGCCCATTGGTCTAGACCACATGCCTGCCAGCCTCGGTAGAGCTCAGCTTTCTCCTGAGCCCCAGTGGGGAGCCCAGGTGGGGAGGGCTGGAGGGGGCTTGAGGGATGACTGCCCACACTGCTCTACTTTTACTGGTGCCGATTAAATGACTCTAAAGCTAACCCAGTGAGCACAGAGAAGACACTTGAAGCCTCCTTTCCAAAACCCAGCTCCTGACCAATCCCTCGCTGCAGCCCATGATATTTTAGGATAAACACAAAAGGGATCTTTGTTTTTCTCTAGGAAAAAATGACAGTTCTAATTTCATGATGACTTTTGCAATTCATAGAGGGGTTCAGTAGAATTTATATCTCTAGTTGTTTTCATACACACACACACACAGACACACACATGTTCACATATACACACATACACACACACATACACACACACACACATACACACACACACACACACACACACACACACACGTTCACATACACACATACATATTTGTCTAGCCTGAAACTATGTAGTCCAGGCTAACCCTGAGCTTGAACCTTCAGTCCTCCTCCTTCGTCCCGTTGCATCCTGGGATCACACATGTGAGCCACCACACCTGTCATAACGGAGTAGCCTTGATTCAGTACTGCACTGTGTGGGATCCTTCTTACATTTAAAGATCTGTATCCAAACTTTGAGACCAACTCCAATAATTTTAGACGAGATTTAGTTGCCACCGTTAACTTCCGTAGAGCCTCCGGAAACATAAAACCACATTACATGTTTCCTGTGTATCCATTTCAATATTCTTTTCCTGATAAAATGTGACCATTATAGAAATAATAACACCTAGTGTTTACCAGCATTTGCTACCTGATAAAACCGTGCCAGCTGCCTTGCGTATATGAGCCATGTCATCCTCATGAGAGACCTACAAAATCAATCTTTTAAAATTTTTTAATTTTTAAAATTAGATTTTTAAATAAATCTTTGATTTCAGTGGATGAAGGAAGGCAAATGAAGGAAGCAGCTGTAGAACTTGCCCACAGTGCCAGGCGGTGACTGTCTGAGGTCTCTGTCATTGTCTGACGTGGATGCTGCTGACAACCAGACTCAAGTCCAGGACAAGGGTCTCAAGTGCTCTCTGCAACTTAGTACCCACCCCATCCCACCACGTATCTTTTAAAAGTCCTCTTCTATGTTTCTCCTTACGAATGATTTTATCTTGTCAGCATCTAGCAAGATAACCTTAAGGTTTTTTTTTTCTTTAACCTGTTTGTTTGATCAACCATACTATATTCCAACATGGAGCTATGTTTGGGTTTCTAAGTTACATCTCACCTAGTCCTGGTACCTCAGCAGTCACAGTGTAACTAGTTTATAGTCATGTTTTGTGCTCTGTAGGATTTTTTTTATCAGAAGTATTTTTGCTTATGTCATTTATTGTGAACAAGAACACCCCTGCCTTTTTACTTTGCCCATCTTGTTTCTGATTAGCCTACAAGCTGCTGAAAGAATCCATCATTCTACCCAAAGAATCTTTTCTTAAGAGCCAGGACTGAGGTGGCATGGCCCCCAATGTCTATCCAGACGATCTAGAAGGAATTTATAGATTTAGTATATAACTTTCAAAACACAAAATCTAACTGTAAATAATGCTCATGGCCTCTTAAAGCTACAAGGAGGAAGAGAACTGTTAACCGGGAAGTCATTGATTCATTCAACAAACACTTGAGTATTTTCTTTGCATTAGCAAATGGCAAGAGTTTACACACTCTTGGTGCTTACATTTTAGTAGAGAGTGGAGAGGAAAAAAAGAGGGAGAGAGGGAGGGAGGGAGGAAAGGAGAGGGGAAAGAAGGAAGGAAGGAAAGACAGAAGGAGGGAAGGAGGGAGGGAGGGGAGAGGAAGGAAGGAGGAAAGGACAGAAATGGAGAAAAGGAGGAAGGGTAAGAGGAGGGAGAGAGGAAGGGGAGAAGAGGAAGGAGGGAGGGAGGAAGAAAAGGAGAGAAAAAGGAGAGAAGGAAGGAGGGTGGGAGGGGAGGAGGGAGGGAGGGGAGGGGAGGAGCATGTAAGGAGCTGGTACAGACAGCTTGGGAGCAGGCGCCATAGTGTCCAGACGACTTTGTCACAGTGAAGACACTAGATTGGAACATTTGTTACGACCTGTAGTAATTCCTTTTACCTGAAATTATGAAAATAAAACATAAGTTTTGAAGCTTTTTGTAAAATGTCTTCCCCACTGGAACGCACAAGTAGTTTCCTATCTCCTATGAACTTAAAAACCCTGCTAAAATTCACTGACTATTCCAAGTCTGACAATAAAGTTAAGCTTCTTAACACTTCGGACTTTGGAGCTCTAACCCCACATATATTTAAGAAAATTTGTCAAGGGAGACTAGTGAGGGTTTTTAAATTACAAATTATGTATAATGAAACAGAGGCCTAATAAAATACGAGACACAGCCCTTACAGAACAGTCAGAACTGAAAGCAAGCCTGCCCGGCTGGAGCAGCACCTTGTACCGCTCTGCCTGCCTCCCCTCTCCTCAACTGCCTTGCTTCAACACCACCATTTATTTGTCTTTCAGAGGAGAAGACCTTGAAGGAACTGCAGATGCACTACTCAAAAAAAGATTACGAGGATTTCATGGATTATAAAAGGATAAAAAGTTCTGAAGAGTTACCTTCTTCTCTCGAGGACACTGGTAAAACCACCCTGCCTCTGTCAGTGAAGTCCACCTTGCTACGTAGTGAAGGTCCCGCCTAGCATCTGTAGTGAGTCAATAACGTGTCTTCTTTTGCCACAGCCACCTCTCAAGGCTCCAAGAAACCAAGCTCCTTAGAGATTGGCCAGGAAGAGAAAACAAAGTCGGAGGTCACCATTTCCGGGGACATCCTGGATAAAGATGGTAAGAGAGAGAGAAAACCTCTGAGGAGCTTTGAACATTTGTTTTCTTTTTAGCAGTCCTATGGGAGCTCAAAACTCAATACAAAAAAAGTAGAAAACCATCAGAAGGGGAGAAAAGGCAGGTTCATTTTTGAAGATTTCAGTGAAACAGCTACAGCACAGAATAGATTTATCAAAGTGCGGAAGAGACAGAGAAAACGAGGCGTTGCAATGCAAGCAGACCCCCAAGAAAGATTAACATTATACAGTCATTGCCATGTCACTATAAATTCCTTCTTGAAACCACTCTACTCACTCTGGTCTATTCTGGAACCAGAGTGTCATAAACCCATAATTACAGTTGTGAAGTGTCATCATGATTGACACTGTTCTGTTCACATGCTAAAATCCTGACAGCATATCCCAACACATGGTGTAACAGAATACAGCTATGTGTATTATACCATCACACAGCAGCCACAACACCTAGCATCCTGCCACTTTTGAGTAACAGTACACGGTGCAGTTATGTGACTTTGTTCGGAAACATTTTAACCCTTGTTTTAAAGAGTTGCATGATTTTTATGACTAGATCATGGCTTAGCCATTAGATATTAGTGTATTTTATTTTATGAGTGTGTGTGTGTGTGTGTGTGTGTGTGCGTGCATGCAAGAACCCACAGGGGCCAGAAGAGGGCGTGTGATCCACTGGACCTGGGGTTGCAGGCAGTGTCAGCCACCTGCACAGACTCTGAGCCGGGTCTCCATCCCAAGCCAGTTCTTCATATCATAAACTTGTGTTATTTTTGTTTGCAACCATAAACAATGTTCCAATGCATTTTTAATAAGCGTTTTACCTGGATATTAGCATCAGTAGAACTACAGAAAACTATTTTGCAAAAAAGTTATTCCAAATTATCTTTTCTCCATTAGTACACAGATCTAGATCACCAACTGCTCGTTATTTTTCCTTCAGAGTTATGTTAGCTTTTACTTCTGAAGCCTGTTAAGACTTGCTCACCACTTATTTCACTTGGGTGGTAATTTTTACTTTTCGTTGATTTTTCTAAATTGTTGTATCGATTGTATTATTTTATTTCTTCAAAAACATCCTATGTCAGTCCCCTATTTTTCAGGGTTTTCTTTTTTTCAAAATTGAGTAGTTTGTCTACTAAATCATCTTGGTATTTTTGAATTAATGGAGAAATTTTCCAAAATCAACTAACTGCTTTCCTATTACTGATTTATGTCTTTATTTGTAAGATTTAAACGTTTTGCTCTTGCGTCCTGGTTTCTGTGAGAGTCTTTTGTTAGGTTGATTTTGTTGTTGCTGCCGCCGCTGATATCACTAATTTGATGTCCAGTGTGACGTCAGCTCTGCTTCTTTGTTCCCTCCTACTGATGGACACACACACGCTTTTCCTGGTTATTATTTCAAGCTAGTAAGAACTGACTGGGCACTGCTAGAAACTCATCTGTGTCACTCTCTTACACACACGCACACGCACACACACACGCACGTGCGCGTGCATGTATATACTTTACACAGCAGACCACCCATACTTTCAGACCGTCAAGCGGCTGCAGGAGCCCCACCTCCTGATACTGGTGACTTTCCTCAGCAATCTACAGCCCTTTTCCCAGACTGTCCCTTCTCTTTGTAGACCAAATGTCCAACATAGAAGCAGGTACCGTACCTACCCACAGCATGGAGCCAATATTGACAGCCTGTCTCCCTGAGGCCAATTGAGAATTGGAGACTGCTGCCTCAGAAAGGGGATGCTTGCTTGCTTGCTTGCTTGCTTTAGATTCACTGGCAGTATATCAAACTAAAATCACAACTTTGTTACAAGTTATTATCTTTACTTTTTCCCCGCTGACCGATACGTTTACCTATTTAAATGTGAGGGCCCTTATGTGAATTATATGTCACAACCATGAGTTCCGGGTCCCTGAGCCCACACTGAACTCTTCTTCAGAATCCGCACACATATTCTTTTACTGCTCAGCTTAAGTTCTCAGCAATCTTCTACCCACGGATGGAAAAGGAACCAGTGGCACGTCCACAATTGACACGAGGCCCTGGGACCTTCCTTCATCAAGAGGAGAAGTATAGTTCAGACAAGGGCCAGCTGGTAACTTGGTGCTCTCAAATGTGTTCTCCCAAGAAATCAGTGTCTATTTTGGAATTTAGAAGGAAAAATATATTATTAGGAAACAAAACCACGATTGCACACAATGTATGCGTGTGTGTGTGTGTGTGTGTGTGTGTGTGTGTGTGTTTGGAATCAAACCCGTGACCTTGCTTATTCTAGGTAAGCCCCGCCCTCAGCATTCTCAGCTTACCATTGTCTTTAAGGGTTACTATAGTAGGAACGACTGGGCATGCATGAACACAGGAAAAATAACACAGGAAAAATAACACAACACATTGTTTTGGTGAGAAGAGCATTTGCTCGGCCATCCTTGGTATGCAGCTACTATGGTAACCACAGCGTGAGTTCTACTATCATGTATAGCAGAAAGAGGGTAGAAAACAGGAAATAAAAGCTGGCTCTCATTTAGCCGAGTTCTCTTAAAGAACTGGTGGAGGGGGCTGAGGAGATGGCTCGGTGGTTAAAGTACCCGATCCACAACCGCGGGGACCCATGACAATCAATGCCTCATGGAGCTGGCAGCGCCTCCTATAACCCCACCCTGAGATGACAGAGATAGAGAGAGGCAGAGGCTCCCCAGAGCAAGCTGGCTAGGGAGACCAGCCATCCCAGGGAGCGCAGCGTTTTACTAAGAGAAGAAAATGATTCCCAGCATAGACCTCCGGCCTCCACATTGACGCACAGACACATCCACACATGCGCATATACATACGTGCCGATGCACGCACATTAAAATGAAAAAAAATACAAAAGAGGTCTCAGCAACACCTACCCTCACCCAAACCTATTTGCGTTTTATTAACTCTCTAGCCATAAGGAAAGTTGGGAAATACACGTTTCCATCTGAGCACGTGAGTGGCGGCAACACAAAGACTGTCGCTGCTCTTACGGGAGAGGAGGGTGGATCTGAGAGACAAGGCCGCCTGGCCCTGGTGCCGGCTTTCCCTGGCTCTTCTTCGGCCCCTCTTTCCCTGTGCATCTCGACTTTTCTGTTCTGCATCTCAGGGAACTGTGTCTCTTTCTCCCCTGCACACATTTTAAGGCAAAGAGGGCAGGAGGCAACTGTCCTTTGAGAACTTCAGAGCTGAGAGCCACGGGGCTCTGGACCAGAGGTTCTGATAGTTGGAGGCCTAAAGCGGCAGTGGCTCCAAACAAGACTGGAAATTTTAGAAGCAGTGGGGTGAGGGAGGACTGCCAAGCGCCTGCCTCACTGGAGGGATAGATTCATAGTTAAAACGGGAGAGTCACCTGGAGCCCTCTCAGCCCTGCCAGGAATAACAGCAAAAGTCAAGTCTGTGCCCATACTGACGCTTCGCATGGGCTTCGCGTGGGCTTCGCGTCACTGCCCTTCTTATTTGCGACTCTGTGGCTAATGGTCCTTCTCCCATCTTCTAGCAGGTGCTAGAGTGACACAAAGTCAAGAACTTTCCTTATCACAGATAATAGTGTCCCCGAGCCCAGGAAAGAAATGTAGGTTAACTCGTTTGATTTTAGTCTCTGCAGAAGAGTCGATAGAAGAGGTGACTGAAAAGCACCCAGAGGTGTTTGCCATGATAGAGGATACTCTGAGGCACTCCAAGGAGTTGAACTTTGAACAGCCACATGATAAACAGGCTGAAATACTGGAGGAAGTCATCAAAGAGGTGAACATTTTATTTATTATCAGTTAATGCCTATCATTGACTTAGAAACTAAGACCATATTAATCTGGTGTGTGTCTAATTGTATTAAAGTCTTATTTTACTGTAGTCTTCAAATTTATGTAACATTTTGTCCAGTTAATTTCTTATATTTCTTTATTTTTGAGAATTTTACACATGACTACAATGAAATATGATGGTAACTGTCCCCCCTTTCTTCCCCTCCTCCTCCTCACCATCCCCACAAACACACCCTCTCCCAGATTTATGTCTTTTAAAAAAGGGACTAGTTATTGGTGCCACATGTGCATGTGTGTGGGCTTCCCACGAAAGCATGGGTTACCCGTGAGCAGCCATCTCCTCAATAAAGAATGGTTCTTCCAGAACTATCCACTACCAACAGCTCCAGTGCTGTCATACATGAATGACGTCAGCAAACAAGTGCTGATACTTAAAAGATTTGCAATTATCTACAAGATTAAGAGGTGTGATTTGATAGTTCTGAAATGAATTTGTTAACTTTCATTGTCTCTGATTTAGTCCAGCTAATAGAAAGATGGGGTCTATAAAGCCGATACCACCGTTAGATATTTCATCCACAAGCTAAGCAGTCAGAGACCGACATCAATTTTGTCACATGGGTGGCTAACTTTATCCAACCATCCTGAGCATGTGTTGGTGGAGAGGGTAGAGATGGGTAATTTTTCAGTTCAAATAAAAGAAGAGCCTTAAATACTATGCCCACACCAATGGAAAACCATTACACCTTCTCTTGTTTGTAGAGGGTAAGCTATCCATAGAGGTAGGTATTATGTAACAGTCTCGGATAAGCATTCAGAGCAAGCAAGATAAATGAGGTAGTTTTGGACTCTCAGTGGACGACCTTCTATGTCTGTGTGATTGAATTTTAAATTACTATGTGAGAATCTCTGGGCATGGGGACTTATCTCTGTAATCCTTTGTTCAGAAGGCTGAGGCGGGCGTGTCAATCACTAACTAGTCCAAGGCCAGCCTGATTTACATAGATAGGTCAGCCCAGGATAAGCATAAGACACACAAAGAAGTATGTAAGAAGAAAAAGTTTATCACATGGGAAGACAAAAGCGCTTTATGTATAACTACTGGGTGGCTCCCTTGAGCCCTGGCTGCACCAGATTCCTCTGGCTCCTCAGCGCTTCTGAGCTCCTTCACACATTTTACCAATCTCTTAGATTGTTCTAGCAATCATTTTTCCTTCACGGATGCCTGTTAGCAGAAGCAGTCTGCACCTGTTAGTCTCCGTACTCTGTAGATACTAGGGTTACAAAAATAGATTAAACATGGTCCCTGCCTTTAAGGACCTTCTATACTGAAGTGGCCTGAAAGCCACTCACTGAGTCGTCCTGTGGCAAATAGATTCCTACAGGGGATAGGAATTCGCCCGTGAAAGTCAGAGCTGTCATCTTTGCCCCATCACTGAGACCAAACACCCAGAGAAGCAAATGCCGAGTGAGGGCAAAAGACTATAAGCCTAGCCCTTGCTCGTGCTGAAAAATGCTCTCGTTACTTTGTTTTGGTGATTACAAATCTCCAGGAAGAATGAGTACAACATTCAGAGACAGAAATGTGTCTACAGTGTTTGTACTTAGAAACTGCAACCGTAAGCTGTAGCTGTGGCACCAGAGGGCTGCCTAGATCGTGGCTACTCCCACCACATCGACATTCCACAAAAGACTAGGGGCTCCAGCAGGAAAACTCAAGCAGCCAGAGATCTGTGTTATTGTATAGAGTATACTCTTCATTGTTGTTTGCTTTGTTTTGTTTTGTTTTGTTTTTGAGACAGTGTCTTTCTACATAGCCCCGGCTGCCCTAGAACTTACTATGTAGTTCAGGTTGGCTTCAAACTCACAGAAATTCTCCTACCTCTCCCTCCTGAGTGCTGGTAGTGAAAGTGTGTGCTATCAAGCCTGGGAAGGGTACATACATACTTTGGAGAAGCCGTTTGCCCATTTTCTATTGGGTTGTCTTTTTAGATTTATATTACTTAGGGGGTGGAGATCTGGCTCTGAAGTTAAGAGCACTGGCCGCTCTTCCAGACAACCTGAGTTTGATTCCCAGCCTCCACATGCTGGCTCACAAATATCTGTAACTCCAGTTCTATGGGACCCAATGCCCTCTTCTGACCTCTGTGGGCACTTCATACATGTTGAGCTCAGCCCTTCATGCAGGCAAAGCACCCATGCACATAAAAGTAATAAGATAATAATAAATGTAAATGTATATTTCTTTATGAATTTTATGAAAAAGAGTCCAGCATTTTGCAGTTATCTTTAGAAATGTTTTCTAACAAGCTAAGGATGGAGCTTAATTCGCAGAATGCTTACCTAGCATGTATAAGGTCCTGGGTTTGATCCTCAGTACAAAATAACTAAATAAATAACTCAGGTCTCCTATCTTGAATAGCCTGGGAAGAGAAAGTACATCAGGGTAGCCAAACATCCTCACATCATAACCAGAAAGCGAACAGGAGTGTGAGGAAGGCAGTGGTGCCCGTCTTCTTTAAAAGCAATCACCTAATGGCCTCCCAACTGGATCCCTAATCTTAACTTTGTGCCACCTCCCGACAGTGCCGCGCTGTGGACTTTTCACTAACACGGAGAAGTTGGGAGGCGTCCTAGATCCAGCCTCTCTATACTGTGGCATGGACTCCAGGACAACTACAACAGAGACCCTCTCAAGAGCAAATCTCGATGGAGAGGCAGTTTAATCACGTACTGCGGGTCCCTGTGGCTGGAAGGCAGAGAAGGGTCCCAAAAGACACATGGAGTCTGGGGTTCCAAGGCTTTATTGTTCATGGCAAATGTAGATGGTCTGGGTGCACCCCCCACCCCACTTAAGCCAGAGTGGGCCTGGCTTAAACAGGGAGGGGAAGAAAGAAGGATCTGGAGGGAAAACTTAATCAGCTAAGCCTTCTGGCCTTTAGGTAACTCATTAATATGGAAATCTCTGGAGGCTGAAGCCCGTAATCACGCCCTCTCGCTGTGTTAGGTGACACCCCTTTGGGAGGGGCTGCATAGCCAAACGTGACTTCAAGGTGCAGGTTAAATGGAGGTCTAGACCACATGTCTGGAGCCTGGATTCTGGAGGCGTGGCCTGCTGCTTCCCTTTTGAGGTTGGAGTTCAAGACCCATGCCCAGCCAAGAATCAAGCTATTCTTTCCCGGCCTGACAGCACACTATACAGAATACTTTATATAAGGATGTTAACCACAGTATTATTACATATATCTAATGCATAAGAGATCTCATCAGTGTTACAATGAAATTATAAGTGACAAAAATACTAACTACTGTGGGAAAGATTTCAACAAAGTAAGACTTACTCACATGGTAAAACAAGATGAAGCCATTACATTTTAAAACGTTGAAAGCAGGGCTGATGAGTGGGCTCCCTCGCCATGCAAGCCTGGTGACCGGAGTTCCAGCCCAGACCCCGTGGTAAAAGGAGAGAACCAACCCTGAAAGCAGTCCTCTGACTTCGGGGCACACACCTGCCCACACTCACAGACAATAATAATAAATAATTAAATTATTTTAAAAATCAAGTTAAAAACTTTTAAAGTTGAAAGGGACACGGATTCTAAATTATATCTTAATATTATTTTCATTTTTGAAACTTGGCAACTGATATTTTCATTAGTACTCACTTCTATTTCTTCTTTACAGCTTCTCTTTCTGTTGCCATATTCTCTTGTGTGTTAAAAAAGTTTAATTTTCCAAAAGACTTTTTTTTTTCAGATTAAAAAAAAAATCTAAGGTCCTCAGTCTTAAATTCTGCACCAGCCCAGGGATTTTATTGCCCCTCCTAACGTTCCCTCTTGCAGCCTAACATTCTGCCTCTCCCTGAGAGCACAGAGACATGTTTAGAGCCCTCGGACTGCTGTAGTTACAGGTCCCTGTTACTGATGTCCATGTCTGTGCAGAAACTATAACTGAAGGGCGGCGAGCTGAAGAACACTTGTCAACTCACCATGGTGCTATCGATGTGCATTTTCACAGGTGACAAAGGATAACAAGGATAGGTTCCCTGGTGCCCCAAAATATGGAGGATGGATCGTGAAGAACTTCCCTTTAGTACGAGAACTGTGGATGTCCTTAATAGAAAAAGCGCTTCTACCTGATTTGGTTGTCTATTTATCAGATTCAGAAAGTAATGGTTGGTAAATATTTATCATTTCAATTTAAAATACAGTGTTTATTGTGGACAGTTTATTTGGTTAAAATAGAAAATGTAGAACTCTCCTTAGGAATAGATACCAGTCCTACTACGACTGCAGCTATGCCCATAGGACCTAAAGATGAGGAGACAGGCTTCTCCCGCTGAGGTGACCTGTATAATGTACTGTGCCACTGAGCCTTCTGGCAGACCTCAGTAGCTATTCTTTAGGGAGCTGGAAATTCAGCATCCCTTCTCAGTGAGTAGCTGTAACTTGTAAATGAACCTGTGTACAATCCTGAAGGTGAGGGCAACGCTGATGCTAAATTTAAATATTCTTCCATTTCAACTCTTAAGCAAACATATTTGAGAGATGGTGGAGTGAAGGTTGGCGCAGCCAGACTTGAAAACCTGAGTTCAATGCTCATGACCCATACAGTAGAAGAGAACCGACTCTCATAAGTTGTCCTCTGCCCACACGCTCGTGAGTGTATACACACACACACACACACACACACAACATAAATGTAAAAATCATTTAAATATTTGAAAAGAGCTTTATGGGGGATATATCTTTTCATCTTTTCTTTATTTATTACATATTAACATATGCTTAAGACAGTCTCCTAAAATTTTAAAGATTCAGAGCTGTTTGGATAAGGACTTGAAGGCAAGTGTGTGTGTGTGCGTGCGTGCATGCGTGTGCGTGCATGCGTGTGTGTGTGTGTGTGTGTGTGTGTGTGTGTAGTCAGGGGTTGTTTTGTAGTTAATTTCCAACACAGGTACACACTATACAACTTGAAAATAATTTTCTTTTCTCTTAATCTGTATTTCAGGAAAACATGTGTTAAATAGATTATATTTAAAGAATAAGGCAGAAATCAATGCTAAGATTATAGAAAGATTGCAAGAAGAAATTCAAGCCAAAAAAAGAGAGGAGGAGGAAATACGGTAAGCAGTGTTGAGAACCAGGAAATGGACTGCACAAATCTCTTCAGAGATTTTACCTTGATTTACATATATGTGTGTGTCACTTATGCGTGGGTGTCTACTGAGAGCAGAAGTGGCCACTGGATCCCCTGGAGCTGAAGTTACAGGGGTGCTTGGAACCAAACTCAGGTCCCTTGCAGGAGCTGCAAGCACTCTTAACCACTGAGCCTTTTCTGCAGCCCATATCATCTAGGATAGTCTAAGGGTAGCAGGTGACTTTCCTGGAGGTGGCCCGCCATTTTTGCACGGACTGTGATGGGTGAGCTCTGAGAGGCAAGGGCCCTGAGAGAATTCATCTCAGGATTAATTCCTGCAGCTTGTATGCCTTTCCTGTTGTTATTAAATTAATATAAAAATCCCTAGCAAAAGCCCACCCTATTGGGCAGATTTTCTGCAGGTCAGTGAAGATGTACTGTCTTGTAGTGATGCTATGTAGGCAAGTAGATGATTTCTTAATTCCTAATAGTGATTCTATAAAATTCCTAAACTTATACAAGTGATTTTGAAACCCTCTATAAGAAACACTGTATTTAGGGCTGTGTAAACCTTCATTGTGTCATGGGCTATTTGCACTATGATAGAAACAGGCATGAAACAGATTTATGATCAAGGAATACAGTCCTTTTAGGCTGTAAAGCCATTACCTGACAGCCAAAGGCCATAAGACGGAATGAATGACTTGCTGACTTGCAAGAACAGGAGACAAAACATTGACTGGTTTATCTATACAAAACTTCAGTAGTAATGAGACACTAGGCAGATGATTTGCCCCTCAATAAAACTGTGCTAACTTAGACATAAAAATTATAGTTCTAAACTCTCACTAAACCCGTAGAACTAGTGACAGATGGTGAATGTTTAGTTGGATAAGTAGTCTTACTGGAAACACATGTAAACAACACTGCTATTACTTCTTATTCAATTTACGATTTGAATTTATGTTTGAACTTGTGAACTTTTGAAAAGAGATTGGAGCTTATTTTCCATCCAGAACAAGTAAGTTCTTTCTATGCACTTGCCCATAAAGGCTTTACTCCATCCACCTTAGATAGATAGATAGATAGATAGATAGATAGATAGATAGATAGATACATAGATACATAGATAGATACATAGATACATAGATACATAGACAGACAGGGATAGATAGATAGATAGATAGATAGATAGATAGATAGACATAGGTATAGATATACATAGATATATGTAGGTATAAGTGTGTATCTAAGTATGTAACTTGATGAGGCACGAGGCTGAGCCTGACCAAAGTATATGTGTGTATGAGTATGTGCATATGAATATGTGTGTGAGTGTGTGTGTGAATGTCTATGTGTTTCTGTGCATATTGTCTATGTAAAAGAGCTTCATTCTGCAAGGGAGGCTTTCTCTAGCTGACAAGGACTTAAACTCCTGGGAAAGAACAGAAGAACCTCTTTATTTAATCCCTGCCATTTAACAATAGAGTGTTAATCCCCAGAGGCTTGTAGGTTCTGGCCTCAGAGTCAAGGCAGGTAAGCATTATTTAATAATAAGCAACCTTTACTTTTGCAAAACCAAGTTTTGCCCCTCCCCCCGGGGGGGGGCTTTCCAGAGAGAACCATGCTTGGACAGGTTCCTGCCTCTGTGCTTTCCTAGCTCACAGGTTATGCTTATAAAATGTCTCTAACGTCAGAAAGATTGTCTATCACTGAGCAAAATCCCACTGAGGTCCAAAAGAAACAGTAAGTTCATAAATTTCTACACAGCTCAAGTATTCTTTACTAGCCAACTGGAAAAAAACAAACATAGATTCCACACAGAGACACATGCACATGCACAGACATGCACACGTGCACAGACACACGTGCACACACAAACATGTAGCACATCTATCTGTGGTTTAATAGCTAGAACCCACACACTGAGACAATAATACACGACAGCATAAATAAAAATATGCCACATAAAAGGAAACTCAGCCTCACCTCCATGGAAGGAAAGAACTGATTATCTACGTTTTACAGGTTTATCATAGGTTTGTTCTCTGCTGTGAATGTAATGAGGTACTTTTAAAACTGTGAACAGCCATCAGAGCTAAGGCTCAACACTAATCTTTAACAAACTGTGAAGTTCTTCACAAAATAGGAACAGGAAACAGGGACCTAACTAGCTGTTCTTCCTTGCTGAAATATGCTCTTTAAAAAAAATAAAAACCACCAAAAAAACAAAAAAGAAAGAAAAAGAAAAAAGCAGAAAGAGAGAGAGAGAGAGCGAGAGAGAGGGAGAGAAATTGAATATGGTTGAATGAACATGGGCTGGGAAGTAGTAATGCATGCCTTCATGCCTTTAAGCCTAGCAGTTGGGAGGTAGAGGCCCATGGATCTCTGGGAGTTCTAGGCTAGCCTGGTCTACTTAGCTAGTTGCAAGACAGTCAAATCTACAATAGAGACCTTGTCTTAAAAAAAAGAGAGAGAGAGAGAGAGGAAAAAGAAAAGAAAAAAGAAACAAAGAAAGTAAAGGAAGGGAGGGAGGGAGGGAGGGAAGGAGGGAGGGAGGGAGGGAGGGAAGGAACACTGAATGGGGGAAGGGCTTGGAGACGTCCACTGGTAAAGAGCACATGCTAAAACCTGTATGCAGTTTAACTATTACAGCAGAAATAATTATCAATCCCACAACTTGACAGTCCAAATGTCCTCCTGAGGATCTATTGATAGAATGGTCCTTCCTAACTGCAGCCCTGATCAACACTCAGCAACATTCCATTTCTGCACCACGGTTTTCCAGTTTGCCAGTCTGACGAACAGTCTGTCCTTCTTCATTTAGTTTGTTGAGTGGTCCCCTGCAGAGAAACAGCTTTCTGGGTCATCTGCATTTCTCTCTGTGTCTCGTCCTTCCTCGCATTGTGCCTTTCAAGTTGAAGCTTCTATTACTCAGATCAGAGCTTTATCAATTTTGATGGGAAGCCGTAGTCTTTCAACACCTGTGGAAATAAAGACAAAACCTCTTCCCCAGACTTCCATTCTGATGTTAAAACATCTTTTAAGGATGCAGTTTGATCTAATTCAGTAGTTTGTGTGTGTGTTTGCTTGTTTGTTCATTTGTTTGTTTGTTCAATCCAGGGTCTTTCAGCAGCTGCTGATCCTGAAACATTGGCATTCAAAACAATTAAGTTAGTAAAGCATTATTCAGTCTCTTTCTGGGAGCTCTTCTTCCCCTTTCTGTTTAGTAAGCATCTCCTTTAGGGTACACTCAAATCTTTTTATAACTGCTTGACCTCTCAGATTGTGTGTTGTAGAGGCCAGCTCCAACAGTGTGTTCAGCAATCCAAGGAGGGGATATGGGTCAGCAATTAACGTGAAGCTGGCATGTGCTCACGAGCGCACAAGCGCCACACACATGCACACAAGTGCACTCACACACACACACACATGTGCACACACGCACACACACACAGTGGATGAAGCCAGGCTCCAGCCACTTTATTTCTTCTCTCACAGCTTATATATCCCGGCAAAATCTTTCTAGCAATATAAAAATTATAATGTAGTTACATTCTATTTTTAAGTGAATAAATACATTTAAGTGAAAGTATGTGTTTAAAAAAGCATATTTCCAATATGCTTACATGATTAAACATTTTACACATTACAGGTCAAAAAACAATTTATTCCCAAGATCCCACATACATTCATGATTATGTAACTTATTTAGATTAACAAAGTATAAGCAAGCAAGGTATTTTTTTCTCAGCCAGTTCTCTTACTGGCAGGCTGCAACTTTTGGTTACAAAGAAAGGATCAATTATTTTATTATTTATCTTTAAAAGTAATCTTATAAAAAAAATAAAAGAATCACAAATATAAATTTTTATATAAAAGCAGTCATTTCTGCTTTAAATCCTCAGGATGCACACCCACTCGCCAATAATTTTTTATTAAATCATATTGGGAAGCCAAAGGCAAAAATGGGTACAAGAAATTAGTCATCACCTGGTCACCAGCCCAGCTTTAACAAGAGAGACAGGTCAGGTAAGACTGGTCGTGCTGCTACTGTTCTCTTTGCCTGACCTCAATAATCTCTTGCCCAATTACCAAAACTGTGCCTTTCTGAACTTTAAATTGTTCCCCAAGATTTCCTATGACAAAACCACTAACAAAAACATCTTAACCTAACTTTATTGACAATACATCTCTAAGTTCTTTCTGAGGATGGTGGTTGAATCATTAATCCGCTCCAGCAGCAATGCTTGCAAAAGACCACTCACTGTTACCGTAAGTGCCAGTGACACTGCCCAGTGAGTGGCCCCACGTAGAGTTTTCATACAGCTCATAGATTATGAGGAATGAGGCAACCAGAGGACAGTAAGCAGAACAAAATTCCACAATAACATAAGTCCTCAGGACACATAGTCCTGGGGCTCTGCCTCTGGGAAGCATACCCATCGTGATGGAGCCAACCAGTGGGCTGCGTCTGATGAGTCTGAAACCGCTGTTTTGCTGCTCTGCTTGCAAGGTCCCTAGCAGTACAGTTTACCTGTGATATGCTATATGTTATAATATGCAAAAAAGTCTCATTTCCATGGAAACGTGTGGGGGCATTATCATTCTTAATCTGTAAGGGTATTCTGGCTATAACCATCACTTCCAACAAATGTGCAGTTACAGAGTCAGCCTTTTCAGAACCCAAAGGAAAGCCCATTGAAATCCTGAATATTATCAATGGTAGAACATACAAATTTTAGTTTCCTACATTCTGCAAAGTGAAACACATCAATCTTCCACCTTTCATTTCTTTTGGTATCCTTAAGGGTACTTTCAGCAAGTAATGAAACTTGATTATACAAAAAACAAGTAGAACTTTTTTTTTTTACAATTTTTTTTGACTTGTGGGCAAAAATAGAAATTTTTCTCTTTAAATCTTTTCTCTTAATATGATGTTCATTATGAAATTCTGAAGCTTCTAGCACGTTTGGTCAATTTCTT